CCGAATAAAACTCGAAAATGAATCTCAATCCCAATCCCGTAATCACAATAACAATCATCCACATCATTCAATCAATTCTTGGGCGGACCTATGTGATAAGTTCTTCGCTAGATATATTCTACCCTCAAAGACGGCGTTAATGCGGAGTGAGATCCAAATCTTCAAACAAGAGGAAGATGAGCCCCTATTTGAAGCATGGGAGAGTTCACTTCACTTCTTCTCAAGTGTCATCACCATGGTATAGCTTGTTGGTTACAAGTAGAAAGCTTCTATAATGGGCTGACTCGTGAATCCCGCAACTTGATTGATGTCGCTAGTGGGCGAGCCATTCGAAACATGGAAGTAGGTTAAATGCAAAAGATAATAGAAGAAATGGATCGCAATAGCTTTGATTGGGGTAACGGAAGGTGAGGAAGGAATGTAAAGAAGAGAAATGTGCTCAGGCGGCCCATTTACAAGATTAACAAAGAAGATCGACCTCGTTGCATCGGCCTTGAAGGGTAATAGCAAACAATTGATGAAGTGTGATTAGTGCGGTGATGTCAATCACCACTTGGAAGATTGCAAAGCAATGGTAGATGCCTCAATTCAACATGAGCAAGCAAATTTTGTGAGAGGCCAACAAAATGGCAACAATCCTTATAGTGAAACCTACAACCCGGGATGGAGGAATCACCCAAATTTCCTATGGTCTTCACCATCGGATAGGAAGCCTCCCGGTTTTCAAGTTGAAGCACCGATGCAGTCTCATTCCAAAGATCAAACCAATTTTCTAGTCAAGGTGCTTACTTGAAACAAGGCCTATCTTCAGAGAATTGGTTAACTAAGCTTGAAGATATGGTGGGACAATTCATCTCTACCACCACAAGGAGATTTGACAGTTTGTGGAAAATGCTGCAAACAAGCTCTCAGCCTTGGAGGCCGGTCAAAGGAATCACCAAGAAACTCTTCAAAATCTCAAAGCGCAATTGGGATCCATAACTAAGTCTTTAGCAGTGAGACCTCAAGGAGCTTTGTTGGGAAATACATAGCCGAACACCAAAGAAGGATGCCACGCGATGTCCCTAAGGAGTGGCTGACCACGAAAGGAGAGCCCACACCCGACGACTCATGCTCAGGCGAAGGAAGACCAAAGAGAGACTCCTCAAGAGGAGAAGCTTGTTGAAGAAGAAACGGGAGTCCCCACCAATATCAATATTTTTTTTTTTTTTATGAATCACCAATATCAATATTGAGAAGGAAAATCTTCTGAAAATGTCACGTACCTGAATACATCACAAAGGCCTGATTCCAAAGAGATTGTTTGATACTGATTTACATCACAAATATGCTCAATAGAAGGACACTCTCAAGCAACTTAAGGTAATTGTTACATTCTTTGAGATGGTAATGAAGAACCCCAAATATACAAAGCTATTGAAAGAAATCCTCTCGAGAAAAAGGAAAATGGAAGAAGTTGACATGGTTACCATGAGCGAAGTCGCTTCAATATCTATTTCTTGTGAAGGGATACCTCCGAATATGAGGGATCTAGGGGTATTTACCATCCCTTATACTTTTGGAGCGAAAACATTATGGAATCCATTGCCCAACTTAGGTTCGAGCATCAATATAATTCCGACAAGGATTTACAAGGAGCTCAAACTTCTTCCATTCTCTCCCACAAGCCTTGTGGTATAGTCGAGAATGTCTTATTAATATGTGCTCACTTCATCTATCCTGTCGACTTTGCATTGTAGGCACAGAGGGGTGTGTTGATGCACTGGTCATTCTTGGAATACCTTTCTTGACCATGGCGAGGACAATCATTGTTGTTAGCAAAATCCAAATCATATTAAGGTTTGGTGAGGAGGAAATCTGATACAAAATGAACCCTCTTTCCACCTTCCACAATATTTCGTTGGGAAGACGTGGAGAAGGATTGCGTGCCGCTCACACCTCTACCAACACCACCTTCAATATGGTTTCCCATGATGATCCAAAGGATACAAAAGATTGATGAGAAAAACAACTCAAGAAAGAGTATGAAGAAGAATGGAGAGACTAGTTCTCCCCATGACAAGAAGATGCAAGAGTTGTTTCTCATTTCTGATCATGCCAAGTTAGAACGGAGGAAACTTCAAAAGTTTGAGCTTGAAACGAGATATCTCAAGGCCAAGATTCAGGATAAATGAAGAAGAGTGATTCTAGTATGCTAGCTTCCATTAAGGAAAAGGAAGAATCCTAGGAGTGCTATAAGCCACTCACTGAAGAAAAAGTTAGGGTAAGTAAGCTTGATTTCTACAATCGTCATCAACCGTCCGAAAAGCACTTTAAGTCAATAGCCACGAATGAGGTAATCGAGAGACTTCATGATCTCCACCTTGGACTCCATCACAAGTTGATTACTACGAAGTATCAAGGGTGAAGGATGGAGCTATCACCACTTATTATCCCAATGGAAAAGAGTCTGGTGAAAAGACTTCAAAGATGAGCTAGTTGGGAGGCAACCCAACATTTTTTGTTTGCGTATCTTTTCCTTTCTTTTGAATAAATTGTTGAATGTTAAAGTTTGATTAGCTTAGTTGATGATTGATGCATACCTAGACCTTGCCTTATCTCATTTACTTGTATGGATGTTGAACTTAAATGGTTGAAATCCTTAGTTGTGGTAAAAATTGATCTTTGCCTGACAGAGTCAAGATCACGATTGTGCGACAAAAGTTCACGGCCAAGATCTTTAATTTTGACCTCATGCAACGATCTTGCTCATGTCTATTAAAGGGGAGGTGCAGTTTTGCCTTCATGCGCTCTCTCCCCTAAGGAATTTCAAATCTCAAAAACCATGTTGTCAAAGCTCTTTCAACCCTTTTGACCATACTTAACCTACCTCATTTTCAAACATCATTTGTGAAGTATTGCTTACTATTTTGGATTTATATTATGTCTCCAAGCAAGCTAAGGTAGTGTTTTATCTTTTCCTACTATATATGTGCCTTAACTAAGTCAAAATGAGCTTGAGAGCAATGTGGATTTTGGTACATTTTTAGGCAATGGCATGAGTTATTTTTTGCAATAGGATTGTTTTCTATGCTTTAGTGATGTCTTATGTGCATTGGGAGACTTTGGTCGGCTAATTTTTCATAACTTTTGATGTTTTATAAGTATGTCCACCAAGTGTTAGATGAAATTCCCCAATCACATAACTTGCCATTTCTTTGATCCTAAGCTCTACATTTGAACTTGTTTGGTATTGATAGAACCTTGCATGTAAGATTTAGGCTTTTATGTGGAGAATGAGTGTCATTTATGTGAATTTAGCCATGTCTCCCTTTCTATGTTATCTCTTTAAATACATAGATGGTTGTCAAGGATACTTTGGAAAGTTCATATGTAGTTATGTGAATGGATTGATGGTGTTTGCGCACTTATTGTGGAACACTTCTTTTGTAGGGTTTCCAACAAACATAAGGGCATATGCTCCGAGGTGAGAGCTCTAACCCTCCTAGAACCCTCCATTACTCAAGGAAGAAGAGGAGTAAACATCGACAAATGGAAGTGACCTTAGAAGAATAAGAACCACATCCACAACAATAACCACCTTTGGAGCATCCTTATGACGATCAACAAGAGGATAATCAAGGGATAAGAGTAACAATGGAGCACCTAACCCATGCATTCTTAGGTGCAATTCCTCAACAGTGCACCACCAATCTTTCATGGCTCCAAGATCTTAAATGTGTGTTATAGTAGTTCTAGGATCACTTTTACTATGTTGATGCATTTTTTATAGTCTTTCATGTGATTTCATGCCAAAGTATAGTAGTGGACCATCTTGTAAGAGTGGGGAACATGAAGGCCCAAATGCTCCAAAAAAATTCAGGTTAAAACAAAGAAGATACAAGTCTACTAAACAATAGGAAAATAAATGGCTTTCTCACTCTTTAGATCTGACCTCAATTAAAAACAAAGGTCTAGTTTTATTTGTGTACTTGTACGTAACCATGAGTTATGCACCCTACTGTAGATCCTAGAAATGACTTGATCAAATAACTACACGCGTAGGGCTGAACAAAAGTAAATTAAAATAAACCTACACGTCCTATCCAAACCGACCCACCCGTAATATTCAAGAATATATAATTTTACTGGTGGGTGTGGGTTTGAATTTTTGAAAACAAAAGCTTTGTGGTTATGGGTTTAGGTGGTTACAACCTGGGTTTATCTAAATCAACACATGATTACATGATATATTTAATTTATATTCCTCCACCAAAAATCTCTTACTTTAATTATAATTCATATTTTTTTTACATTGCTAGAGTTGATAAATTGAAAGTAAATTATTTTATCAAAGTTTTTTCTTAACAGTTAATATAAACATATTTATCGTTATATTTAATTTTTGAGTTTCCTTGCAATGTATTAATAAGTAAAATAGTTTAATTCTTGTATTTTTATATTATCATTCTTATATTTTTATACTATGAATGCAATAGAGTATTTCAATATGTACTATGATCCCCAACCTACTGTCTAGTTCACGTGCTCAAATTTCACATGTTAGAACGAGCTCACATTGATTTTTTCGAGACACATGATCACAATCAGGGACGGAGCCAGCGTGACCTCCCCTAAATTTCTAAAATTTGGTTATGCAAGATGTAGTCTAATGGTTTGGCAGTCTTTTCCCTAACCTTCAGGTTCAGGATTCGAAAGTTTGTAGATATGTTTTTTAGGGTTGCCGATATAGTGATATTCCAATATAAATTTAACCACAAAAGTTTCAATTTTATCCATTCTCATCCTCAAATTTTCCATGTACCTAATTTTCCCTATAGTTTGGTGACAAATGTGCATTTCCCCGTGTTCTCTTGTACCCTAAATTTTCATCACCAGATTTTGCAAGTCCTACAATTTCTCATTTTGATTCATTTTTTTCCTCCTAATATTCTCAATTTTTGGCTATAATTGATAATTTTCACCTATTTTTCCTAAGCCTACAATTTGTTTTTGTAGCAAATTTCTTTAGTTGTGTCTTTTTCTCCTAATAATGTCAAAATTTTGCTCAAGATTGAAGCTCTTTGCCAAATTTTCTTTCTCCATTAGTAATTTATGTTGTAAAAGTATAGCATAATAAATTTTAGTTACATAGTATTTTGAATCATTTCAATAACTTTAAAGAACTCATACATGATAAAACCAAATAATTATAAGTTCTTTTTTACATTATATTATGACAACACTAAAAAATTTAATTGCCCCCCACCTAAATGCCTAGCCCCGTTCCTACCCACAACTCTCATGGCTAATGGCCCGTCGCAGGTAAGATATGGGACTCAATGTACATTGTTGGTGACTTGCAAAGATCATTATCGACAAGTGCAATGCCCGGAATCCTGCAGACAATAAAGTTGGTGCTCTTCTCAGGGATATTTGTTTTTTGCTAGATGAGTTTACAGCTTATTCGTTCTAATAATAGGGAAGCTCATTATGTGGCATCATGTCTTGTTCTTGTCGCCCCAATTGTTCAAGGGGTTCAACTTCGTTTCCTGACTTCGTAGTGCTTAGAGTTCTTGTTGGATCCTTTGTAGACTTTGTATCTTGTTCTCTTTCTAGAATTTTGAGGACTCGATTGACAAAAGAAAAATCGCAAGCCCGCTGCCAAACGACGTCACTCTAATCAGCTGAAAACGACAGAAAGAAGTCAGTCGTCTGAAATCAAGTCGAGTCGGTCCGTGGCCGGGAGAGAGAACGTTGTTTTCTTGAATTGAAATGGTTTCCCAGTGTTTCCATTTGTTTACTCTTTGACATTTTCTCTCTGTCTATATTAATATCCTCATATCGTTCGAAAAGAGGGATTAGGGATTCATATTCATCTTTCGATCGCAAGACATTCTAACCTCCATTCTCAGATCATCGAAGAATTAGAGTGGGAAACGGATAAAACGATCATCCGGCAATGGGCGATCAGGTGGCTAGGGCAGATGAATTCGAGAAGAAAGCAGAGAAGAAGCTCAGCGGCTGGGGGATATTCGGTTCCAAGTTCGAAGACGCGGCCGATCTTTTTGATAAAGCCGCTAATTCCTACAAGCTTGCTAAATCCTGTAATCGCTCTCCTTCTCTGCATTCCAATAATTTTATCGCTGCTTGAATTCTCGTCGGGTTGTGTTCAGGATCCGCGTGCCTTTTGATTGATCTTCATTTTCTACATAGGTTGCTGGTAAAATGTTACTTTCCGGATGGATTGAAGGAGGCAGATTCGGTGTTTGAATTTTCAATTAATGTAGGATTATGGCTCTGAATTGGGACTTCAAGTATGAGGCTCGTTGTTGGATGTCTGCATTTCATTTGTCTTGTTTATGATGATTTGTGGGGAGGTGTTTCCATTAACTTGATTTCCAGAGTTGTGCTATGTTTCAACTTGTATTTAGGAGTATAACCTCATATTATTGATTCGTGCTTGACGGATGTAGGATTAGTAGTCAACCTAAAGTGAGTTTACTGTTCTAGCCGCTGAATGAGTTAAATACGTTGGGGTTCGGCCGCTTGTGTTCCATTAGATTGTTAACTATCGTATTCCTCTATCCTGCTGAACTTTGTGAAATGCTTAGCTCTGATCCGCATTTTTTTTTGTTCCGATGGTATAACCTTGTCGGATGTGATACCCTGGAGCTTTTACTATACTTGCATTAGCCTTCTCTGTCTTGTGCTCAATGCTGGAGTCACTTGGTGGAGGTCCTCTAACCTTGGTTGCTTATATGTTATGGCAGGGGATAAAGCTGGGGCTACTTATGTCAAGCTTGCTAACTGTCATCTGAAAGTAGGTATTTTAGAGCTTTCATGCGGGATTGAGGACTGGGTTTGTTTGTTGGGGAGTTTCATGCAATTACCATTTTCTGTTTGCAGTTGGACAGCAAACATGAGGCGGCGCAAGCTTATGTGGATGCTGCTCACTGCTATAAGAAAACATCCACAAGTGGTATGGAAATTTTCCTGAAATAAGATAATGTATCCTTGAAAGTCGTAACAGGGAACACAGGCTTAGGCAATTATGCTAAGTGTCGTTGAGATTATTTAGAGTAAACTTTGTCTCATTACCATTTAGATGGTTAGTTGCAGCTTCAAAGATACAGTTGCTTTATAGCTCGTGGAAACCTTTTGCTTAGCCTTGGTTCGGAGTTGATTTGTTCGCCTAATCGCTTCTAGCAATGTAGGAGCTTACAAACTTTTGTTGTTGATTCGTTACATCATCACGATATGCAGAGGCAATTTCTTGCCTAGTTCAGGCAGTGGAGATGTTTTGTGACATTGGAAGGATCAGTATGGCTGCAAGATACAACAAGGTGAGATTTTCAAGTTACCCCCCCCCCCCCCCCCCCCCCCCCCCCCCGAATTTTCTGGAAGATTGCTAGGTTGTTTCTTGTTCCAGTGTCATCAACTAAACCAGTTGGCCTTCCCTGTTTCAGGAAATTGCTGAGTTGTATGAATCAGAAGCAAATATAGAGAAGTCGATCGAATTTTATGAAAAAGCTGCTGATTTCTTCCAAGGCGAAGAAGTAACAACTTCTGCCAACCAATGCAAGCAGAAAGTAGCTCAGTTTGCTGCGCAATTGGAACAGTAAGGCTGCTGATTTCTCTCGACTTTCGTTCTTTTAATGTTTTTTCTCTTCATTTTCTCTGTTCAAGTTCACGTGTTTACTGAAAAATTGCAATGATGGATCACATTATGAAAGAATTGGGAAAAATTACTTTGGACTGTAGATACCCAAAGGCGATAGAGATCTATGAAGAGATTGCCCGCCATTCTCTCAGTAATAACTTGCTCAAATATGGAGTTAAAGGTCATCTTCTGAATGCTGGGATTTGCCATCTCTGCAAAGGTGATGTTGTTGCAATTACAAATGCGCTTGAGAAATATCAGGTTTGTTTTGCTTGATCGTTATTATTATATGATGTTGGGAAAAAAATGCACCCTCTTACGTGAAAAAACTATTCCACTCTTGCTCGTAGGATTTGGATCCAACATTTTCTGGGACTCGTGAATACAGATTGCTAGCGGTATGTTACATTCAAGATTACTTTCTGATGTTTAATGATTTTGCTTTCAGAAGGTTTAGTCTGCGAAATATTTAGCCTGATGCTGGTATCTTGTATCTGATCTCAGTTCCTATGTTAGGAGCATGTATAACTCTCTGGTGGCCTGTTCTTTTCTATACGTATATTCAGTGTGTGCGTGTTTGGGTAATGCTGAGGTAATCCATTTTGTCAAGCCAGGATCTTGCTAGTGCCATTGACGAGGAAGACATTACAAAGTTCACTGATGTGGTCAAGGAATTTGACAGCATGACCCAACTGGTAAACTTTTCTGTAACTGTATCCTCAAATGTGTATCCACTCGTGTCGTCGTTCTGCTCCATTTTCTTCTACCACTGAAAAAATAATTACCTTGCATGGTTGCGTTTGAATTTATATGACCTAGTAATTGCTTTTTTTTTTTCTCTCCGTGATTCCTGATACTTCTTAAATAGGATTCTTGGAAGACGACCCTTCTATTGAGGGTGAAAGAGAAGCTGAAGGCGAAGGAGCTAGAGGAGGACGACCTCACTTAATTTGGGTGTCTGGCTGATGATCAATTACATGACTATAATGTACGGGTTTGGTATCCAGTCCAGGGTCGTCTATCTCCGGTCTCGTTTTGTGTACTTGCTTTGAGATTCGATTCTGAGTGGGTATGGTTTACGAGTTGTTGAAATGTGCTTTGTAATTGGTAGTAGGATATGGTTTCTGACTTGGGATTTATGAACACAAAAATATATTGGAAGAAAAAACTCTTGTTGATTCAAAGCGTGAAGGTATAACCATCTCTTGTTGATTCAAAGCATGAAGGTATAACTATCTATGCGTGTGGAGGGGGTGCTAGATTTTCGGTTGTTTCTGTGCAACGCGCGTCATAGTCCACCTCTTGAAGCGGAAAGAAATACGAAGAAAAATAATTCCCCAAGTTCGTTTGCTTGGAGAATTCTAGGGATTTTAGTAATCGCTTATTCCGTTGGATTTTTGTCATAGTCGTTTCGGAAGTAGACCGCACATTGATAGTAGTGATGGCAATAGGGCGGGATGGGTGGCTAACTCAATTCTCATGTCCCGTATCATGATACTACAGGTTGGGGAGTGTAAAATCCGTCTGGGTACGGAGTGGATCGGGTTGACCCACTTTTACATGTTATTTAAAAAAGATACACTTTACATGTTATTTAAAAAAGATACACGCAAATTTTACTTTTTAAGATAAAACAAAGGGAAAAAATACTTTACGAAAGAATATTGTTGATAATTTTATGGGTAATTAAGTATAACAAGTTGAAATATCGACTCTAACTAGTTGAATAAAAGTCAAAATAAAAGAAATATGTATAAATACCGTAAAAAATTGAGATAAAATGGGTCTAGAACTGAGCGGGGCAGGGTAGGACGGGTCAGAAGTAGATATTCATATCCCGCCCCACGCTGTTGCGGGCCGGGTAATACCCGCGAGGCAGGTTCAAATTGCCATCACTAATTGATAGCAGCTTAATTTTGAATTTATTTCCATGTCATGTTTCCATTTCATATATTTGGTAACAAAAAAGAGAAAACTTGTATACTTTTCATTCGGTCCTTATTCATTTTCAACGTTTAAAACATAAAGTCGTAGATTCCTGTTATTTTCAGAAATGCCAATATATTTTTTTCAACCAACTTCCAACATATGTTTTCTCATATTTTCAACGAGATTTTTTCCCATCTTATCGATGAGGTGAAATATTTAAATGACATCACTCATAGTTATTTCAATATTTTAATTTTAGTTATTTATTTTTTTCTAAATTTATTATACATAGTTCATTTCGACAATTAGGCATACTTTTATAGCTCTCTACTCTTGATCGGAATTATTAAGTCTCGAATCAAATAATCAATACAGTAACAGTTACATCGGAATAAACTATAGAGGACAACCCAAAACACAAAAAACCACAATCTGCCTACAAAGCAAAAACCCATGCGCTATCAGATCGGTATCAAAATTCAAAACTACCTATTGTCTAAGCTATGCAAACGAATCTCCTCCTTTATGACACGAATCAATTCTTGACTACTACGTCCGGGTGCACCAAATACTCGCAAGCAGCGTTCCTTCCATATGTAATGTAACCCACAATCCAACACCACACTTCTCCATACAATAGACCCACTACAGTTCCACCCTGAACAAGCGTTCAGATAGTGTTCAAACATTCTGCCCAAGATTGAGGCCAGCTGTTCAAAATCCCTCCAAAGAACGCAGTCTAGGTTTCAGTGTAGTAGTTCCATAGTCAAAATTCCGATTTTAATTTTAAAATCTTATGATTTTACGATCTTATCTATGGGTTTCGATCTTGATTTTAATATAAAATTTTCGAACCTTAAAATCTCATAAAATCCCGATTTAAAATTCTAAAATCTTCAAAAGCTACGATTCCTACGATTTTGTACGATTTCAAGGTTCATGTCAATTTGAGCAAAATTAGGCTGGTCAAGTCTGATTTTCCCATGAACCGGGTCAAGTTTGCATCCCCCGAACAAACATAATGAACAACAAAATCCTAACCCGATGGACGACCCTCGATTTATTTTCATTCTCTTCCTCCTATCTTCCTCTTTCGCACGTCGACACCCAACTCCTTCTATCAATGATTTCTTTCACCCTCCTAATTAGCTTGTAGTTTATTTCCACCACACTCTCAATTATCCAAACCTCCATTCCATTGCAAGCTTGCGTTCATCCCCTAATCCTTCAGCACCACTATCTCCGATCTTTTATCAATTAAGAAGGGAATGCATCAATCAATGAGTTACATTTTCCAGATGATGGTGATCAAGGAAATATGATTAATGGTGAAAGTACTTCAAGTGATCCTGAGAATAATGATATCATTACTCAAGCAAATATAGACAAGGATTCTTCTACAAGGATGAGAGTGAGGGTGAGGATGAAAATGTGTAAGAGATGTTAATGTTGATCCTAACAATCTTATGTGATTTTCTACCCTTAACTATCAATTAAGTTATTTCTATTTGATTTACGTGATGTACAAGAATAAATCTATGGATTTAGTTGTGTTTGTTTAGTAAACAAACTTATCTTGGGAAGTAATTAGGTTATCTATGGTTGATTGTTATTCAGGATATGCATTTTTACTAATATCTGGTGTTTTAAGTGTTTAGTTTAATATGAACCTTAAAATCTTACGATTTTAATCTACGGTTTTAATTTTACCTCATTTTCGATTTTATTTAAAATCATGATTTTGAATGCAATGGGTGCAGCAGAAGAAAACGTGGTCTCTAGTCTCCTGCGCAACATCACATAAAACATACAAATTTGAATCAATAAGCCCCCAGTCAGAGAATTTTGTCGAGTTTTAATTCTATCAAGTATGACTAGCCATGTCAGCAGTCCATACTTCGGGATGCAGTATTTACCCCACAGTATATGGTACCATTGAACAGAAGGTTGCCGCACATGAATAGATTGCCAAATAGTATGTGCAGAAAATCGGGGCATCAGCTTCCCTTGCCAAATTAGAACCTGCCAGCACCTGAAGTCATAAGCCGATATTGAAACCACGACTTACACTTAAGCAACTTTCTTCATATGCAAGAGCCAGCAGAATTTTCTTTTAGTTCCCCCACACTTCTCCCTTTCAATCTATATCTAGAGATCCAGGCCACCCAAAAACTACCGTGCATAAAGAGTAGCCATAAAAGCCAGGCCATACATGCTATATTCCATGTTTCCAGATCCCGAAGATCAAGGCCAAGGCCTCCTTCCTTTTTTGGTTGAGCAATCTATATATAATTTTCACCTTATAGGCTATTAGCAAATAAATGAACCAATAATTCATTTCAACTTAAAATCAATTATGATGTGAACGTTATTTAAAAATGAACTTCTATGTTTGGAAAGTTATATTTAAATATCTACACAATTAATTGAATTGAACTTGCTAGTCATGCATGTAACACATTTATAACCGAATCTAATGAAAACCTTCCAAAATATACCCTTAGTTTAATAAATAAATTACCTAAAACATGATATGTATTCAAAGTCAATCATTGAAAGCGTGAACCAACTACATGACATGTAGTTCGAAAAGTAACAATGTTACTATTACTAAACTTATTCATAATTTACCATTGAAAGTGAAGTCATTTGTAATTTACCATCGAAAAGTAACAATGTTTCCCCCTTTCGTTGCTTGTTGATCTTTGTCTATTTTGAGTTTGTTCATCTTGTGATTTTCATTGAAATTTTTGGGTTGATTATGGATGATTAATGATTTCTTCTCGCTTCCAACCCTTAACAATACTAGTTCTAAGATGTTGAATACTGGTTCTGATATGTTGGATACGAATTCCATATTAATGTTTGAGTACTAATAGTTCACAAGATGACTGTTAGTTGGTTTTATGATGAATATTAGTTTCCTACCAATGCTTGAATATTAGTTGGATACATAATGAATACTAGTTGCATTGAGTTGAATACTACTTGGAATGAGTTCAACACTAGTTATAATAAGTGGAATACTAGGTGGGTGATTGATGAATACTAACCCTCTGTTTCCGAAGGAAGGGAGGAAAATGGAGGGGAGGGGAAGGGAATTAGGAGGGGAGGGATGATTAGGAGGTTAAGGAAATTGGAAAGAAAATGATGTTTTATGGAGGAAAGTGGGAAGGAAAATGTGTATTGGAAATTGTAATTGATATATTATTTTATTGGGTATGTAAGAATTAAATAATTTGATTATATTTTTATATTATTTTGATGGGTTGTGAATTGTGAAGATGGTGGAGGAGAGAGATGATGCAGGAGAGAGATAACAAAAAAGAAAAATAAAAAGGGCCAACTTTTTCTTCTTCTCTCTTCTTTCCCTCCAATTTGGAGGGATTGATGGTACAGTAAATTTTCTTTTCTTTTCCCTTCCCCTCTTCTTTCAGAAACAAGGGAAAGTGCATTGGGAATTTAATTTCCCTTCAAACACTTTCCTTCACCCCCTTTTCCTCCGTAAAAAAACAGGGAGTAATAGAAAGTTGTTCAATACTACTTGGCATCATGATGAATACTAGTTTACTTATATCTTGTTAAGAACTTTTGAACGATGCCTCAAGTTAAAGTAGAGGTGTTAAACCACCTGAAAAAGGATCATCCCAAATGCCACACATTTATATGAAGAACCACACTGGCAAACAATGGTTGTAAATTGTAATAGATGTTCACACTGGTTTCTAGTATTATCTACTTGTTTATTATGTGATTAATACTAGTTGAACTTGTCTATGTTATAGCCGTTGGAACTGCTTTGTTCTGGATACTAGTTCATTGAGGTTCAATAATAGTTTGCTTCTCTTGAAATTGCTTGGATGAATACTAGTTATATGTGTATCAAATGCCAACTGCTTTCCCTTGAATACTTGTACTTGTGTTTTTCCAGTAGAAGATTGTGGGTGCCAATATTGCTAGTTCAACTAAGCAGAAATGCTAGTCCCAACAAGTTGAATACTACTTTTACTAAGTATAATACTAGTTGTAGTAAGCAGAATACTAGTTCGAACAAGTTGAATACTTGCCAAAATATTATGGGTACACGAACTCGTATTCATAAGTGTCAAACAAGTATTCAAAACCGTCGAACTAGTATTCAAAAATTTCTAGTAAGTATTAGACTATGAGAAAGTCAAATACACTTCTAAGTGTTTAACTAGTACT